CATCCCGAGAATTCCCACTGTTCCCACCTGTGCCTCCATCCCAGGATTTCCCTCTATTCCCTCCTGTCCCTCCATCCCAGGAATTCCCACGTGGCCATCCCAGGATTTCCCTCTATTCCCACTGTTCCCTCCATCCCAGGAATTCCCACTGTTCCCACGTGTCCATCCCAGGATTTCCTTCTATTCCCTCCTGTCCTTCCATCCCAGGATTTCCCTCTATTCCCACTGTTTCCTCTGTCCCAGGAATTTCCACTGCTCCCACGTGTCCATCCCAGGATTTCCCTCTATTCCCACTGTTCCCTCCATCCCAGGAATTCCCACTGTTCCCACCTGTCCCTCCATCCCAGGATTTCCCTCTATTCCCACTGTTCCCTCCATCCCAGGAATTCCCAAGGATTTCCCGCTGTTCCTTCCATCCCAGGACCTCCCACTATTCCCACCTGTCCCTCCATCTCGGGAATTCCCACTGTTCCCACTGTTCCGGGGCGGAGCCCTTGGATCAGGATATTCCTGATGGAGGTTAGTGTCGAACTCCATGGGAATGTTATCCTTAGGGAATGTGTGTTCCCCCCTCGCAATTCCCTATGGAATAGGGGATGAATCCCAGTTTGGGAGGGAGGGAATGATGATTCCAGGTGTTCCAGAGCATTCCATGGATTTGGGGCTGGGGGAGGCCCTGGATAAAATTCCTTTATCCTTCCTAAAGTTCCTTTATCCCATCTAATATTCCTTTATCCCACTTGGAATTCCTTTAGCCCATTTAGAATTCCTTTATCCCATCTAATATTTCTTTATCCCACTTAGAATTCCTCTATCCCAGCTAAAATTCCAGCTAAAATTCCCTCACCCACCTAAAACTCCTTTCTCCCACCTCAAATCCCTAAATCCCACCTAAAAGTTCTCCCCCCAAACTCCTTTATCCCACTGAAACTTCCTTTATCCCAGGAAAAAAATTCCCAACTCTCTAAAATTCCTTCCTCCCACCTGGAGATCCTTCCCATCCCAACTTCAATTCCTTCCTTCCTTCCCAAAAATTTCCTTATCCCTCCTCACTTCTCTCATCCCAGGGAAAAATCTCTTCATCCCAGCTGAAATTCCCAACTGAAATTCCTGATTTTCCTGCAGGGATTTCCCAGGATTTTGGATTCCTTGGATCCAGAGTCATTCCTGGGGCCTCTCCAGGCACCTTTGGATCGTCATTGCTGCCAAACCTGCACTCCAAGGAGCTGGGTAAGATCCTTGGGATTCTTGGGATCATCCCAGAATTCCCAAACCTTCATCCATGCCCTTCTCTCTCCCTCCAGCATGGATTTTATCCCCAAGATTTTGGCTCTCTGGGATTTCGGGATATCAGTCGTATGAGCGAAAAGGATACAAGGTAAGACCTGGAGCAGCTGGGAAAAAAACATGGAAAAATGCTTTGTTATCCCAAATATTCCACTTAAACCCTCCAAGGGGAATATTCCTATCTCCCTGCTCCTTGATTATCCCAAAAAAATCAGCTCTGGAGTTGGAATTTTGGGATGCTGGAAGTGGTTTCTCCAAGGGTTGGGCTGAGCTTGTAGTTTTGGGATTGAGGATTTGGGATAATTCCTTGGATTTCTTAAATCCAGCTTGGAATGTGGCTCCTTCCCAATTTTTCCTGTCCAAACCAGAAGGAAAACCACCAGGAATGGCAAAATTCCAAGTTTTCCCCCTTTTCCCTGGAGCTTTTCCTGGATGTGTTTCATTCCAGAGGTGCCAAATCCCTTTGGCTTTTCTTCCCCTTGGGATTAATCCCTGGATTCACCATTCCCACTGTTTTTTCCCAAAATCCCATTATCCTTCCCTTCATTATTCCCAAATGTTCCCATCAAATCCCATTATCCTTCCCCTTCAGCTCCAAATATTCCCATTTCCAGCCTTGAAATTCTTGGGAATCTCCCCTTGGGATCACATGGAATGCAGTTTCCTCTATCCCATTCCAAGTTTTCCTGCACATTCCAAGATATCCCAAACTTCCCTTAGGGCAAGGAAGGGAAATTCCCAACTCTGGGATGCCTTGAATCCCAAAATTCCTGGAAAATTGCTGGAAAAATAGAACTATCCCAAATCCCAAAGAGGTTATTTGGGAAAGGCTGATCCTGGAAAAAAACATTCCCATTGGGATATATCCCATTCCAGATTTCGGGGGTGGCTGGTCAGGAGAGTCTGTGGATTCTTGGCTGCTTGGGAATGGCAAATTCCAACAGAAATTCCTGGAGAACTCCTGGAAAAAATCTGCAACAACAAGAGGTGAGTGGGAACAGCCCAGGAGAGATCCATGGAAGGACATTCCCAATCCTAAGGAATTCTGTCTGATCCTGGGAATACCTTCAAAGCTCCTCAGATCCCAAGGGATAATCTCCCTAATTATCCCAAAAATCAACTGTAGGATTGGAATTTTGGGATGCTGGAAGTGGTTTCTCCAAGGGTTGGGCTGAGCTTGTAGTTTTGGGATTGAGGATTTGGGATAATTCCTTGGATTTCTTAAATCCAGCTAGGAATATGGCTCCTTCCCAACTTTTCTTGTCCAAACCAGAAGGAAAACCACAAGGAATGGCAAAATTCCAAGTTTTCCCCCTTTTCCCTGGAGCTATTCCTGGATGTGTTTCATTCCAGAGGTGCCAAATCCCTTTGGCTTTTCTTCCCCTTGGGATTAATCCCTGGATTCACCATTCCCACTGTTTTTTCCCAAAATCCCATTATCCTTCCCTTCATTATTCCCAAATGTTCCCATCAAATCCCATTATCCTTCCCCTTCAGCTCCAAATATTCCCATTTCCAGCCTTGAAATTCTTGGGAATCTCCCCTTGGGATCACATGGAATGCAGTTTCCTCTATCCCATTCCAAGTTTTCCTGCACATTCCAAGATATCCCAAACTTCCCTTAGGGCAAGGAAGGGAAATTCCCAACTCTGGGATGCCTTGAATCCCAAAATTCCTGGAAAATTGCTGGAAAAATAGAACTATCCCAAATCCCAAAGAGGTTATTTGGGAAAGGCTGATCCTGGAAAAAAACATTCCCATTGGGATATATCCCATTCCACAAAGGTTGATCATGGAAAAAACCATTCCCATTGGGATATATCCCATTCCAGATTTCGGGGGTGGCTGGTCAGGAGAGTCTGTGGATTCTTGGCTGCTTGGGAATGGCAAATTCCAACAGAAATTCCTGGAGAACTCCTGGAAAAAATCTGCAACAACAAGAGGTGAGTGGGAACAGCCCAGGAGAGATCCATGGAAGGACATTCCCAATCCTAAGGAATTCTGTCTGATCCTGGGAATACCTTCAAAGCTCCTCAGATCCCAAGGGATAATCTCCCTAATTATCCCAAAAATCAACTGTAGGATTGGAATTTTGGGATGCTGGAAGTGGTTTCTCCAAGGATTGGGCTGAGCTGCAGTTTTGGATTTGAGGATTTGGGATAATTCCTTGGATTTTTAAAGCTCAGCTGGGAATGTGGCTCCTTCCCAATTTTTCCTGTCCAAACCAGAAGGAAAACCACCAGGAATGGCAAAATTCCAAGTTTTCCCCCTTTTCCCTGGAGCTATTCCTGGATGTGTTTCATTCCAGAGGTGCCAATCCCCCACAGGGTGCAGGATGTTGTGTCCAGGAAATCCAGAGGGAATGAGGGATCCAAGTGGCTCTGGAAGGAAGAAATCCAAGGAATTCTGAGGGAAATCCAAGCCCCACTGGCCCCAGTCCTGCTCAGGTCGGAGGGAGATTCCACTGGGAATGATCTGGGAATCTCTGGGAGTTGGATAAAGATCCTGTGGGATAAGCTCTGGGATTTGGGGGAATGAACATGGATCACTTGGGAATTTTCTGGGATCCCTTGGGGGTTTTTTTCTGGGATCACTCTGAGGGATGTTCTGGAATTCTTTGAGGGATATTCCAGGATCCTTTGGGGAATTTTCTGGGATATTTTGGGAATTGTGTTAGGATTTTTTGGGGGGAATATTTCAGGATCCTTTGGGGAATGATCTGGGATACTTTGGAGATTATGTTGTGATTTTTTAGGAGGAATTTTCCAGGATCATTTGGGAATGTTTTCCTTTTGGGGATCTTGGCATCCTTTGGCTCCTTCCCTAAGGATTCCCCAAAATTCCTGGAGCCAAGATGGATTGGGAAAGGGCCTGGAGCAGGAAAACATTCCTAGTTTTCCTTCAGGCTGTGCCACTGGTTGTTCCCAAAATTCCTAACTCGCCTTTTCCTGAGTGTCCAAGTATCCCGAGGCCAATGGGAGATGGTGCTGAGAGCTGCAGGATCCCACAAAACTCCTGGAATTCCCTCTGGAAAACATTCCTACCAACCTCAGGCACCATTGGTATTCCTATGCTCCCACCAATCCCAACTGGATGGAGCTCTCCTGGCATAAAATCCCAAGGGATTGGAATTCCCAGAGTGCCTGTGGCTGCTCCTCTCAGCCCTATTCTACGGTAAGGAAAAACTCAAGATTCTCCCAAAGAATCCCATGGAATTCCAAGCCTTAACTCCCTACCCTTTTCCCAGCTCCCTGCTGAAACGCCTGGGAGGGATTTTCCTCCCTTTGGGAATTCTGCGGGAAGAGGAGGTGGCAGGAGCAGTGCTGGATGCGGTAGGTGTGGTTAGAAAAAAAAGTTGGGAAAAATCCCTGCGGGATCCAGCAGGAGGTTCCTGGAATTCCCAGGATTCTTGGCAGTATGTGCAGGAGGTTCTGCAGCGTCGGGAGCCACTGGTGATTTTCCTGGAAGAGCCTCCAGATTCCCTATGGATCACAGAGCAATGTAGGAATTGGCTGCTCCGACTGCTCCGAGCGCTGAGGGATGAGGCAATTCCTGATATCCTTCTCATCCCAGTGGGAATTGCCTATGATGTGGCTCCAGGAGGAGCTGGAGAGGTGAGAAAAAATCCTTGGGAGAATCCATGGTTGGGATTCCCAGTGGGAATTCTCCTCTCCCAGCAGCATTCCCAGTGGGAATCGTCCTCCTTGGGGACAGAATTCCAAGTGGGAA